TAATCTGCAGTACCTATAATCAGATCATCATTCACCATTAATGTACTTAATGGCACTGTCCACATTGATTGTATGGGCGGAGACGGTTCACCATCCTGCCTTCCTCGTCCAGTCGCTCTAAAAAGTTAGAGGGCATGCGCCGTTGAGAGCTATGCAGTGGTTACCCGTCTCCGCCCACATGATCAGCGTGTACTGTGCCTTTTAACTGTCATTATTTTGCTGATCTAATGCCACGTTACAGTGTCGTCACTCTCCAAGTTTACGTTCAGAAAAGCCGATTAGTTTCAGAAGACATAAGTCTGTCACCGGGACAAACGTCGTTGAATATCGGATGTTTTCTATTCGACATATTCTATCAGAAATATTGTTTCGAACTGATTTCAATCAACGCGGAAACGGCCATGTATCATCTTTGGAGATGGATGTGTGTGAACACTGAACCAGGTGAGAACCCTTCTTCATTTATTTTATTTCTATTTTTTATTTTTATTACTTCTCTTTGGCCCGGTGAATCCAAAGCACATCATTATGTTGTGCAGAGCTTTTGCAAACACGAACTCTATGAATCCCGTTCGGTACGCCCTCTTTCACAGCCTACATACCCTCTCTTACCAACTTCTAAAATTCTGCTGTCGAGTCTGGGGAAGAGAGGAAGGGAGGGGTAGGTAGATATCTCCGATCATTCATCAGAAATAGCAAAATAGTAATTTAGACGTTCAACCTGTGAAATCAATCAGCATTCACTGAGGAATTTGACTGCGGACATGACCCCTCTTCGTAGCGGTAATTTGAGATAGTCGTTTTCTTTCAGACAACGGTGATGAGCCCCGAGTGGATACACTTGCACCGTCAGATTACCAGTGTGAATAACTAGAGCGTAAACGGAAACTGTAGGCTTATCACAAGATTGCAGACACGAAAAAACGCTTAGCTCCAAAGCGATTCGAACCTAGACATTACGCTTACCAAGCTCGCGGCTAACCACTGCACCACCAAGCAACTTTCTAGTAATTGACTAAGAAAAATTGGACATAAAGATTTTAAGGGCGGCGAAATGTCAGAGAACGCATAGTGTCAACAGTCCTCAAATTCCCCAAGGATAGGGTGTGTACGCGGATCTGGAATGCAGGCTGGCTAAGCGCGGCCTTTCTACTACGAGTGATGCTATCCTGTGCACCGGCACAGCTTGTGGGAATCTGGTCGTGAATCTTTAAGCCAATGTCCTCATCAGCTCCCTATTATCTTTTCTTTCTTTTCAATCTATAAGTAGTCATTCCTTCCCCGCTTCCTCTGAAACCCATTACCTGGAAAGAGAAGTCCATTCAAGCACCCTTCCAGTCCCAGTACCCTTTTAGCCGTTGACTATGATGCTTTGAATACTTCCTTCCGTAATCTCGTATATGTGGGCTAATAGCCTTATCCGCTGCAATTACCAATGGCCGAGAATTGTCTGTGACGGCTTTGCATTTGACGAAGGCAATTCATTCCACACATGCTTCAGCGTATGGTGCGTAATTACGCGTAGTGATGGGAGTGAGTGGAGTGCATGGGACTGAGTGGGATGATTATGAACGATGGCATTCACATCCGTCAGTATCCATTGGGGTTGTAAATCCATGTAGTTGCTTTGAAAAGGTTTGAGAAAGGTTCGAAAAATAAGTTTGATAAAGGTTCGAAAAATTTCTTCGAAAAAGGTTCGAAAAATTTCTCCTTTTTTCCATCATGAGAAAGCCCAGCGAGAAGGTATAAAGGATGGCCTTTGTAAAGTTCCCAGGGATGCCCCACTACTCCCTTGTGGACTAGTGGCACTTGAACGCGTCCAGGCCACGAAAGGAACTGCGGTCTTGAAACCCGTCACGACACTTCTACCGCTCCTTCGATGACTTCCAAGTCTTGCTGACCCTAAATGACCCTGAAGAGGCGAAGGATTCGGTCTCCCGGATTAAATTTGATCAGTGAAGTGTGACGCGACGGCGTTAAGCTACTGCGCTGATTCCATTCAAAACATTGGGCCAAACATCATCATTGTAATGAAGGCATACTCCATTTTTTCGCAGATGAATGTGGCTGGCTTGTCAAGGGCGAGCACGAGTCATGCGACAGCCTCAAATTAACATCTTCGGGAGCACCATGCACTTTCGCTACCTGAAGCATTCAAGTGGGTAGATAAGGCACTAATGAAGCTCGATGAGGGCTTTGAACTACTTCTTTTTAAAAACTGGGATTACCATTATGCGAGTGGAAGTAACCATTCTTGATATTAGTTCGCCCACCCCATAGTTTTTTCCCCATTTTAGGCTTGAGGAAGCGTACTTATTACCATCACAGTAAGTTTAGTTTTGCGCGAAGAACCTATTAAATGTTTCCTTCAAAGTTACTTGCTCCACAAAATAACATGAAAGGGCTTCGCCTGCATATACTCTAGTTCGCTGCGGAACGCTTGGGCGTGTCAGGCAGTATGAGTGTGTCACACCGTCAATGCCGTTCTCTGCCTTCTTGTGAAGCGTGCAACAAAAAGTGGTAGGAAACGAGTATACGAACAATGTATAACGAGTTTTATCACCTGCCGCATCCAACAGTCTGGCTGACAGAGGAGACGCGATTGGCACGCGCCAAAACCCATCTCGCCTGACGACGACCCGAACCAGCCCAACGGTCCGCATGAGATTACACCAACAATGTCGTCATCACTGCTTCCTCCGTAGGGCTAGGTGAAGCCGGCCGATAAAAAGTGATGAAAGCGTTTGGTGTTTTGAAAGAGGTAGAGAAAGGGTCATGGACCGCAAAAGTGGGAAACAAGCGCCAGTTCCAAAGTTCAAAGCTACAAAGTTGAATAGGTTCAGGGATCATGGTAGATAAGGCGGCCGCAATGAGGTTATTCCGACCGCATCCTTTCACCGAGGTAGTGATCGCATTCTATTCAGAGTCAGTATAGAGACTGCTGATCACAAGAGTGTTCCTGACCCAGTCTCGCTGCGCAGCTCCTCCTCCTCCCTTTTCAGCTATCTCTGACGTGAAGGCAGAAAAATAAGGAGCTCAACGAGAAACGAAAAATGATGGTACTAGACATCTGTGTTTTCCTACACGCTGTAAACCCTTCAGAAGCGAACTTCTGCAGTGTGAAACTGCCAGAACATGACTGACAATTAATAGAGTTCACTTCCCCCAAAACTCATAAACGGACGTGTATCGGCCACATCGGAGGGCAACAAAGGGGCGACTACGTTTCTATGCCTTCTCATATCTTAACATACAGCTTTGGCTCTTTTTCGTATGAACCTTTTCACAGCCTCCTTCTCTAATTTCCCAGGGTATAAAAAAGGTCTGTGTCAGTAAAAAGAGAAAGCTGAGGTGATATTTCTTTTCTTTCAGTTCCTCGAATAGACGTAAAATGGTCGAGCTGGTCAGCTTGGTCGGACTGTTCAGCAACCTGCGGTGAAGCGGTCCAGAAACGCCAACGATACTGCGAAAATGCTAAACCGTATCCCGATAAAGGTTGTGAAGGAAATCTATATGAGACGAGAAGCTGTTCTTTGGCTGAGTGTACAGGTAAGGATAAATGGAGACAGTCGAGGAGTGCAGTTTCCTACAAAGTCAGAGGTTTCGCTGAGGAGGAAGAGGAGCCATCTGGGACAGGTCTCGTGGTGAACCACTGAAACATCCGAGATCTCTCCGCTCGCACTCCCGAAGAATTCTTTTGGCAGTAGAAAGGAAGATTTGTCCGAAACTGCTCTCTGACAATATTTGGGAGTTCGAAAACAGCAAAATTGATTTTTATTGCAGATGAGAT